CAAAGCTTAATTTCCGGGTTCACTCGATGGTTGAACATCGCGTGTGCTGCTGATGCTGCTAGACGAACGGCGTTCGCTGTAATAACATGCATGGTGAACTAGCAGCACGCGCGCACGCTAATTTCTAAAACTCAGCTAGCTGTCGGCCCTCAACGTCCTAGGCCTTATATTCGGCAGCTCCTTGAAATTCTGGATCCGAGATCTGAAATCTATAGACCCTAACTTGTGCAAATAATTTGTCATTTTTTTCTCTCCAGTGTAGTGCAGCAGATGGCAGATTATACTGGTTAAGTGGATTTGAAGAAAAGCAAGGTACCGTAACTCATGCATGATGTTATATCATGTATCAGCTAGCCTAGAACTTTAGTTTTACTAATTTTATTTGCCCTGTTTTATTTTAGAAGTGACAAAAATAACCGTCTGCGTCTGGTAATGAGGTAGCCTAGACCCTAGGCCTAATCTATGGGACATCCTTTAATAAAACTAACTTTCATTAGACTTAGGTCTAGATCTAGACTATAACTATTTTTATAAGCTATTCAAAATTAACTAATCCCGCTAATCCTACCAACAGATTGGAGGAGTCTCAACTCAGCGGTCGATTTTATCACTTAACTTTAGTTTATCAATAGACCTAGGCCTAACTTTAGTTAACCAGTAACTGTTACTGTTAGGCCTATCAAAATTATCATTATCAAAGTTCAGACTCGGTCAAAGAGTCGAGACTGAACTTGAACTTTGACAGTTTGACTTTGTAATGAAGGCTAGCCTAGACCCTATGGCCATGCTCTAGAGTTAAGAGAGTAGGGTCTATATCCTTAAGTTACAAATTATATTTTTTTAAACTTGATAGAGTCTAGACCAATTGATTTAGATTTTAAGCCTAGACCTAACTGTTAGATCTAGATTTCGGTCTAGATTCTAGAACTCCAAAAAGTCAAAAACGCTTTCTCTTTTGCAAAAATTGATTTGCGCCAAAGTGATGCCTAGACGTTTTGTTGGGATTAGCGGAGTGAGAGAATAAATTGAATGTATCAAATGAAGTGCATTGCATATGCTTTTTGCAGAAGCAAAGTCATACACACGCACAAATGTTTGTTGATATTCAAAAGTCGATATTTGATAGTCTATGACTATGTGTGGCATGATTAATTTTGTTAGGGATGTTATTTGGATCTGCAAAGACCGAATTAATAATACCCAAATCCCAATTGTTTTATTCAAACATCACACAAGCAACTTTGGCGCAAATCGATTTTGCACTCTCGCAAACAATGCCTCCTGTTCATCCAAGCGTGAACACCACACAAAAATGATACCAAATGATTTGGGATAAAACACTCTTTCATAAGATGTATAGACCCAAGGCTTAATCATTTACTGTGCATAAATTATTTTTAAAATAATTAGCAATTTTCTACTTCTAGGTATAAACTTTTTTTGGACTCGCACTGTAGTTCAAATTAGGAGTTCAGTCAGCAATTGTCACTGGATTAAATATTAAATTTATGCTATACAAACTACAGTCTGACCATGCACTATCATTCTTTGCTTTCCAGGTGAAAGCAAGGTGCCTATATCAGCCATCAGGAACTGATCTACCGAGCAGAACTTTGACAGACTGTATACACCATGTGTCTCAAAGAGTAAAAGTGGATTGAATGCCATGGCTCATCACACAAGTCCAGAAGATTACTCGGCCGACCTTAGGCACTTCTCATCTCTTTTCATCAAGGAAATACTGAACAGAATCATCTCGAGCTCTTCATCCCCATCATCTCCCACCCAGCCAGTGGTCTGTGATCCTGCTTATTCCTACATAGACCAGGCAATTCCAGGATGTGACGAAGATAGTGCGACTAATGCCGACAGAATGGTGAATGGTGCAAAGAGACTGCCTCTAGCCAAAAGGGTAACCTTTGGTGAAGATGTTACTGTTGTATGTTATGAACAGACTTCTGAAGGGGCAGATGAGAGCAGAGAGACTGGATTTTTGATGATGGAAGTTGATCCAAAGAAGGAAACTGTCATTGCCAAGAAAGAGGAAGATGTTGGAAGTGAGCATGATGATAGAGAAGACTCCAAGGAAGACAATGCAGATGGAAATATTTTGAAGAGGAAGTGCATTGGCAGTGTCTTAGAGGATGACTTCATGATTCCAACCAAGGTCATGAATTCTGAGGTAGATTCTCTCTTTGGTCACCAGATTGAAAATGGAGCAGAATCCCATGGGAGCCACTTTCACAGCGATAAGAACAAAGCCAAGGTAGAGGCCAACCAGTTGGATATAACAGTTCAAGGTAATCCAACAGCTGATTCTCTCTGCCCAGATGATGATGATACTGTCTTGAATGATACTCTTCCAAGTGAACTGTCATCTTCAAATGATGACATCATCGATGATTGCAGATCTGTACTGCAAAGCATTGTGGACACTACCCTTCATCAATTAGTGCAGAACATCGAGTCAGATGAGAACTTAGAAAGCACTTCAGATACCACTGAACAACCACCTATCAAGAAGATAAAGTTTGCTTTTCCATCTGACCTTCAGAACTCTAAGAACTCCTTTTCCAACTCCCTTGTTCCAGGCCTACTCTGTCAAGAGGAAATGGAATCTTCTAACAACAATATGCCCCACCTTGTCCACACATCTACTGCAGATGTAAAGCAACTGCCTGTCTCTGAGACCACAAACATCACAGCATGCAGTATAAATGCCACAGTTTTGTGTGATGACCTTAGTCTTGGCCTATCCTCAGAAAAGGAAAGTGAAAATGGCGAAGGAATTCTGCAAGATGCTTCTGATTCGACTGGTGTGTCTACATCTACCCCTGATGCGATGGCCGACGAAGATGTAGACAGCACAACGGTCATGGAGCAGGCAGAAGTGTCTTCAACACTTCTTAAAACAAGCGATGTGAGAGAAGATGACAACCTCACATCCAATGATGACCTTGTAGGAGAAGTTTGTCCATACATGTACACATCTACTCGAGATGTGGAATTAGCTGAAGACATCCCGAATGTGAGCATCACCTCCAAGGATGAGTCTAATGCTTATTCAAGTATTCTCGTCCAAGATTTGTACCTTGATGATTCCGTTGGATGTTCAGAACAATCAGAAGCTATCAAGTTAGAATTCCATTGCATCAAAGAAGATGTTCGAGGTAACTCTCCCCCATCTTCAGCTGATGTAGAAGTAGTAAGATCAGAAGATGTCTATGTAGATGCCATAGAGCCATCTCTTCGAGAGGACATTATGCCTTCTTCTGGATCAAGTGGCGATGACTTCACCTGCACCTTCCAGAAGGCCTCCCAGGTGCTTGCCAGTAGTCAGGATGAAATGACTTGCTGGCATGATTCGAGGAAATGTGATGACCTGTCACCCGAAGACCTTGATCTTATGACAAATGAAGATCTTCAAGTAACACCTTTTGTCTCGGTCAGTCAAGAGACGATGAATGATGTACTCGTAGGTGACTCGAAAGCTCTCCCTGATGGAGATGACTGCATGTTAAAGGTACCAGAGATACCTGAGGAAGGTTACCCTGATATCGGTCAAGAGCCACAGATCAACCTTCAATACGATGATAGTAAAGCCAAAGAATCACCCATGGAGGATTCTGAGCATCAGTTCCTGCAAGTTTTGGGACTGTCCCCAAAACAGAAAATGAATAACTGTGAAGAACAGAGGGAATCCTGCGACTCTTGCTACGGTGCTGCCTTACCAACCTGCAAGATGGACAGTGAATTCAAGGATATTAAAGCAACGGAAGACAATGGCCCATGTATTCCACTGCTACATTCAATATCTGGATACCTGGGGTGTTCACTAATTGAGAATTCTAGGCGGCTTAATTCCACTTCGAATGTGGAGATTGCTGCAGAAATTAACAGGGCTGAGCTGCTGTACGGGAACCTTGAATGTTCAGCGATCGAGGGTTCTGAGATGGAATCCTCTTCAAGTGTGGAGACAGCTGCAGAGCCGAGCAGGGACGAGGTGAAAGTCAACAATGACCAGACAGTTCCTTCTCTTCAGACACCTGTACAAGACAACCCCTGCATTGACCAACTTCTGGAATTGGAAGAATCCATCTTTGCTGAACAAGGTAATGACACTTTTATAACAGTGGCATTATCCAGAATATCTATTTTCTCCCTGAAGCACAATTAAAAAAAAATAATAATAATAAAAACAAATATTCTTGTGTCTTTGGGGTCCAAAAATACAACAGGGAGGGGGGGGGGGGGTACAGTGAGAGGGTTCAGTTATTTTGTGTACTAAATAAGTGCTTATGCCAGATATGCTTTTGGTGGACAGGGATGGGGGGGGGGGGGGCTACTGCCATTATGTAAGTTTTGCTCACTTTATGAAAATAGAAATGAAAAGTTGTGACTCTATGATACTTCCAACTTTTACATCAAAGTCCTATTTGTCTTTTGGAAATATTTTAATCACCATGTGCATCTGTAAACAGTTCTTTCATACTGTTTAGAAGCCATCGAACTGTGGATGTCTGTTTTCATACATTTTTTCTCTACCGCAGTATGCATCAAATAACAATTAACACATGTTGGAACAAATTCGGTTGTGTTCAAGCAATTTAAAAAAAAACTAGAATCACAAATTAAAACGCCGTTAAAAAACATGGTTACTGCGGGAGAGCGTTCAGGTGATTTTTCATCAACACTGATTCCTGCTCAATTCGAGCCCAGCCACTGACCCAGTTTGATCCAGGAAGTATAGGTCAACTTTAATAGCCGTGTGCTTTCTGAATTTGTTTATGGTTGACTGTCGGCCAAACCGAAAGCAGGCCACGATAACGACGTTCAAGCGATTTTTAGTGAATCACGATACAAAACGCATCTTTTTCATGTTTGCATTTTGAAACACGTTTATTTTTACGACCAACAAAAAAAATCGCTTGAACGCAACCCTGTTTTAAACTAAACTCCTTTGAAAACCGTGTTTCTAGGGTGAAAAAGTGTTGCTTGGACACACCCTAAGAAAGGTACGTTCAATTTATCAAAATTATTTGACTTTTTTCAACAGATGCCAAACTCCAGGATGATCCAATGAAACAAAGCATTCCTGTCCTAGAGGAGGCACCATACTTTGAGGGTAAATTTATATTAGAATATAATACATGTACTTAATATTCTGTTCTTTTTTTTCCTTCCATTTATTTGTATATCTCCCTTGCTCTATCTCTTACATGCTTTCTCTCTCTCTCTCTCTCTTTCTCTATGTTGCTACCTCTCTCAATCTTTGCTGGTATCTTTATATGCACATCTTCTTATCTCCCTCCCCTCCCCCCCCCCCCCCCCCCCCCCCCCCCCCCCCCCCCCCTTTCTCTCTCTCTCTCTCTCTCTCTCTCTCTCTCTTTCTCCCTCCCTCTCTCTCTCTCTCTTTCTCCCTCCCCCCTCTCTCTCTCTCTCTCTCTCTCTCTCTCTCTTATCTACCATATTCATATTTTCATATAATGAATCTTATCATGAAACTCACATTCACAACAACAATCGTATTAACACCTTTCCCCACTCTCATCACATTTTTTCCATCATGTTCAGACATGGAAGTTGAATTCATTCCTGATCACCTCCAAATAGTGGTTTAAGCTGGTTCATCCTGTCGTGTGAATGGCACTTTTTATTATGAAATTAACTTGTTGACACCTTGACACTACTCACTTGCATTAACTGTTTCATCGTGTTCAGACATGAAAGATAAACCTATTCCCGATCATCTCCAAACAGTGGTTTAATGATGCTTCATCATGAAATTCATTTTTCTCACTATAATCCCCCTGACACCTGACCCACCTCTCGTCATTTATATCATTGTGTTCAGACGAGGAAGATGAACCTGTGTGAATGATGATTAATTATGGAATTCACCTTTCCAGTCATAATCTCATTGATGCCTAACCCACTTGCAACATTCTCTTTCAATGTGTTCAGAATAGAAAAATAAGTAAGTCCCTTAAAGAAAAAAAAACACTATTAACAAATTTGATTCTGAAATTCACCTTTCCAAAAAGAGTTGCTGAGATATTCAAGGCTTCAACACTGTCATATCCATTTCAGACAGTAGACATTAGCAATAACCCCATCTCTAAATTTATAACTCGCTCTCAAAATTGAATCTTATAATGACATTCACCCATACAGTATAATCGCCTTTACAATCACACCTAACCACCTCTCAATGTTTATTTCATTGTGTTCAGACGAGGAAGATAAACCTGTGTGAATGATGATTAATTATGAAATCCACCTTTCCAGTCATAGTCACACTGACGCCTAACCCACTTTCATCATTCACTTTCAATGTGTCCAGAATAGAAAGATAAACTACATGTAAGTCCCTGGAAGAAAAAAAAACACTAACCCACCTCTTGCCGTTTATTTCATTGGGTTCAGACGAGGAAGATAAACCCATTCCGGATCACCTTCAAACCTTGGGCCAGCCCGCAGCAGGTGTTTTCCTGTGGAACCATTCTCTTGCGGATCCGTCCCTGACACCCTCTCTCACGCCGGATCGTCAAAGCAACCTTCAACACACAGGTAATGAGATTCTTTGAAGAGAAGGTCGAGTTCAAATAATCTGTGACACTGCTCATTCAATTTATTCTTAATGCATGTGGATCATGTTCATAGCACTCCTGTCTCATGGAGATAGCAATATTTGCTCCGGAATTATGCTAATATGTGACGTAAAACTAGAGTTATTTTGAATATTTAGACCAAATTTTATTTATTTTTAATGCATGTGGATCATATTCATAGTACCACTGTCATATGGAGCTAGAGATACTTGCTCCGGGATTATGCTCATAATTGTTGTAAAACTAGAGGCATTTTCATTATATGGGCCAAATTTTCATACCACCGCTAGGTGTAGTCTCATGTACATGTATAATTATAGCTGTGTTCATTGTTTTTCACTGTAACTGAATTTAGGCAAGAGTGATGATTCTCTTTCTCTTTCTCTTTCTCTTTCTTTTTCTCTCTCTCTTTCTCTTTCTCCTTCTCTTTCTCTTTCTCTTTCTCTTTCTCTTTCTCTTTCTCTTTCTCTTTCTTGTTTTCTCTCTCACCCTATCTGTCTTCTTTTCTTCCACACTTAATCTGTGTCCATCCTATGTTCTCTGTTTCTCTTGTGTGTCTATTTTTCCTACTTTTTAATGTTTACATTCAATATTTTCCATAACTCATTAAAGGCCTCATATTTTCCATTTTATTTTCTCCTTTTCATGATGTCCATACAGCTACAAAGACGTATTTCTTGTTATCTAAATCAAATTTCATGAATATTGAAAGAAAGGAAAAGTAATCATAATGCACTGTAACTCCTTGATAGTTAATGTAGATAATTATCACCTTCCATTTACCTGTAGATTGAACATGCAACATGGCCCAACTGTCAAGTATTAACCGCTTTCAATGTTTTATGAAGACACTTATTTGTGTTCTATATAATGTTTTTGCACTACAGCAGAAAACCTCAACCAAACCCCGCCCATTACCCCAGTGCGCTCTCTACCAGTATGTCAACGTAAGAGAAGGGTGGGGCTCTCAAGACGCCAGCTTGTGTACCCACTGCATGCAAGGACATTATCAAGAAAATAGGAACACATTTTCTATCAGCTTCTGCTAATAGACTTTGTTGCTCAGAAATGTAGAACTAATGGAACAGCATTGACTTTCTTTTCTTTGTCACAAATCACTTTCTTAACCTTTTGTGCAATTCACCAAGCTAAAAAGAGAGTGCAAATTGTGAGTTCTGTTTCAAGTGGAATCGAGTACCGGTATATAATTTGAATGCATGTTTAACAGTTTTTAATGGTGATATCAATGTTTCCATTTATGGTTTTCACCACTGTGGTAATATAACTTATCTATTGTAGAAATGCACATTTAGCCAAGCATTCTTATATGTTTCACAGTTTGTGCAAATTGTGTAGTATCTAGTAATGTATATTGAGAATGTACATATAGATTTATTTATGTCAGATCTGTTTTACATGTAAATCTGCAAATACAGAGTAATATATATTAAGAACACATACATATAATTTATTATACTAAATGCCAATTCTATTTCTAGTTCTATGAAAGAACCTGATATGGAGCCGTAAAAGGTGTTTTGTATTATATTGTAATGATGCGTATCTTGCCAAACTACTGATTATTCTTTTTTAATATGCATATGTACAGCTAACAAAGATATTTGATTTGCAATATTGTGTTATAGAATCTTTATTCATATAAACCACTACCGGTATTAATTTGTCAGTTTTAAATTGACATTACAGAGAGTACAAATGAGCCTGTTCTTTTCTATCAACTGTAAATATATGTATTTGCCTATATATTGATCGAGGTCATTTTTGGAGGTCCTGATATATTAAATTTTTATGATACATTGGATTTCTTTTTCTTCTTTTTTTCATTTTGTAATTTCGATTTTTAGAAAAATAGATCTTTGGCATTGGAAATATGAAATGAATATTCAAGGCTGTCAGTTCATAGTACAAATAGCTTCGGCAGATCATAAAACTCTCGCAGGAAATAGAGATATTGGCACATGACTTCCTTGTTTCACAACCAGCCACAAAGAACACACCTGCGGGGTCTCTGCATCGGACCAGGATAAATATGATGGATGAGGTTCTAATATGACAAACAGGATCGTTTGTCTTTGCCCAATCTCTCTCTCTCTCTGTTCCTCCACGAACAAGTTTGGCCAACCGCGGCAGGTGATGATTTTGTGATGATACAACTGAAACTGATCGGTCTCCTTGCTTGGGTGGTGTTGTATAGAAATCTTTAAACGTGTCGAGAGAGTACATTTCGATTGTTCTTTAAACCGTGAAGACTTTTTTTTAATGTACTATTAAAATATTTTGCAGTATGATTGTTCATTTCATATGCTGTCTTATTTTAATATTGCATATTTTCATATTATAATTATAACAGCATCATTTACTCGTACATTCAAAACATAACAGGGGCCTAGTGTATTTTTTTCTTTCTCCTCAATCTTATATTTTATTGCAATATGCCAGTATCTTTGAAGATATAACATTCCTCTTTTAAAGCGTATTGAATTTGAAATTGATGCTGCCCATTGTTTATTTTTCGAGGTGACAGATTATACAAATTTGTCTTTTTGAAGCATACTGACTTTTGAAATGTGGAGCTATTGTTTACATATTGATATGTTTTTAGTGCCCCTTTTTAACAATGGAAACCAAAGACTATTCGTGTTTGTTGAAGTTTTTAACTCTGTAAAGATTTATTTATTACTGATTTCTTTTTTTAAAGAATGCTTAGAAATTATTGTTGCGCCTTACCAAGAGGCCTTTAATCTTTGAATAAAGGCGTGGAAAGTTTAAAATTATTTCTCTTTTAAGGACATTGTTTTTGTTGCAACAGGAGTGATGTTGAAGAGCAATAGAGGCTGGAAAAGGGAAAGGAGAACAAGAGAGGAGAGAGATAGAGGGAGACAGAAAGACCGAGAGAGACAGGGGAGAGGAGAGAGAGTGAGAGGAAGGGAGGCAGAAAGACTGAGAGAGACAGGGAGAAGAGAGAGAGAGAGAGAGAGAGAGAGAGAAAGGAAGAAAGACCGAGAGAGACAGGGGAGAGGAGGAGTGAGAGGAAGAAAGACAGAGAGAGAGAAAGGAGAGGAGTCGAGAGAAAGGGGGAGTTTCGATATATATATATATATTATATATAATGATGAAGTAATCCTTGGAATGATCGGAGAGGGGGGGGGGGGCGGTACATAGAATGAACAAGCTGATTTGCCATCCGGATTGGAGATATTTAAAAAAACAAAAGGTGAAACAAATCATCAGGTTTACAGACAAAACCAAAAGAAATTGAAAAGCTGCAATCGATAGTTGAGATTGATATCAAAACAAATTTTTACAAGACTATATGCATTTAAAAGGCGCCAATATGAATCCAATTGTAAATACAGCGCTTTGACGAATAAACGTCTGGACTTTATATAAACACATGATATATGTAAAAGGTTTTCTATCATAATAGATTAAGGAAAATTTGTCGGTTTGTGAAACTGAGTACAGTGCGGTCATAAAACGATGTTGGCTTATAACCGAGAGTTACTCTTTATAATATTCTGGATAATTGTATAATGCTAAATAAAAACCGATACATAATAATACCACGCAAGAATAGGCAAGGGTGACTTTTATATCAAATCTAAAAGTAATAAATCAAAATTGGATAGTCGATTAACTCTTTCATCGTAGTTTATTAACCAACGAGTGGGCACTTTCTCTACTTTTTGCATAGAATAATGAAGTACAACATTTGGTATACATTAGTGCAATAAAATAAATACATTTTTCAAAACAAACGAAAACGTTACTATGTTATTAGAAGCTACTATGTATATTGCTGTTCTAAAGTTATTGTAGAGTCGACTCAATTAGCCAGTGTTTATTGCTATAATATTCCACGATCTGACATACGCTGAAGAATGTTCAAGTAACTAGACTATTTCGCTGTCTAATTCGCTACAAAACGCAACCAGTGGTGTATTGTTTGTGTGGGAATTTCATAATGTTTTCACTATAGACATAAGGGGTGCTATAATCCTTGTTATTTCTTTCCAAGTGCCGGTCAAATGGCCCGAATACGTCTCATCCCTTACAAAAAAGTACCATGGTAACCATGATTTTTGTCCAAATTACCATCCACCATGGTTAGTTATCATGGTACAAAACAATGAAATACATTGTTTGAAGACCTAATGTATTTCATTGTTTTGGTACCCGGCGTAATAACCATGGTTACCATGGTCGATGGTAATTTGGACAAAAAACCATGGTTACCATATTACTTTTTTGTAAGGGATTTCCTTATCCCATACGATACCTATTATTTTAAAAGACAAAATAACATACTTCATCGACTTCAATTCCATTCTAGACTTCTTACAAACAAATACAGCAATGATAGGCCTAAAAGGCCTATCATTGCAATATATATATATTGCAATGAGAATGTCCAATAGTATTTGTCCGACCATGCAGGATCTTCTTCAGTGTGTAAATTATGTCCAACCAATTTTGTTATGAAAAAAGTAAGGGAGAAATTCAAACGGTTGATTTACCACATCTTACATGACCCCCTTCCCATACACCATCTGCCACCCCCCCCCCCCCTCCTCAATGGTTATAGACCCACTCAATATCACTTTTCATTTTGGTAAACAAATACTAAAGACATACCATATCGCATTAAGTGAACATGATGCACATAATGCTTGACAATATTATTCTGATAAAAAACAAAAAACACAAACAGAAAACTCGGGAATGCATTAAAATAGTACTGCATGGATAAATTGTAGCACTGAGTAAGGCTATGCCTATAATATCATTGTGATTGAACAGACACATTGCAAGGGACAGAATATATTGTAATACTTGAAATATCGAAAATGCATGGTCACTTATACACTCACATTTGAATACAGATGTAGCAGGCCTAATCAAAGCTTTAGTGAGTGAGGAAAGGCATTTGTAACGTGTTTATGCATGACATTATTAACGGTAAGTAGGCGAAGGAGGTTTATAAATATCAAAAACGGAATAATATTCTATAGGGGGATGGGATGGGGTAACTTCGGGCCCGCAAGTTCCGATAATTGATTGGGGGGGGGGGGGGACTGGTGTGATATTTCCCAGGGCTGAGACTTTGGGAATCGAGCCCAGCAGAGTCGCTTAAAATATTTTTCCCCTGATAATTCTTACTGGAAAATAGTATTTCGGGAACACTGTGGAACCCTCCAAAATAGCTCATTGACTTTGATTACAAAAATTCCCTGACTAAATTTTTTTGTTCCTGTCCCTGTATCCGAAAATGAAAAAAGGGCAACGTACCGAGGGTAGGGGGGGGGGGGATTCAAGAGAGACTCCCCATTTGGCTGCCCCTACGCCCATGTTGTCAAATTCTTGTTTCTTTAGCCTACAGACCTATTAAATTTGCCAATCCATGATTATAATACATCGCATCCTGACTACTTTAACGTTTACAATGATCTCCTAGGGCAAAGGTAAACACATCTGTTCCGGAGAAGAAATCGTTGCAGATTTTTGCCGGGTAGGTCTATATTGAAAACTCCAACTATAAATTGTACTTCGCATGCATTTATGTCGTCCGATCTCAGCTAGGGGGAATAAGCTGAGGGTTTTGCATGCATACTCGTGTCAATGAAATAAGAATCGACTGATTTGAGTGACATTGGAGTAGCAAGTTTCCTATCCATTCTACTGTTACATCGGCTATGCGAGTACGGATTATTATCCGGAACCGAATGCAACCATTTCACGATGTACTTGTCCCTTGATGTTGTCTTGTCACTAAAAATAGTCGGCAGTTGAATTACAGTGGATAGGACTTTCGATGGAGATCCGGTTACCCGTTCCCGAAATGTAACGTCGGTATCCGAATACGTAAACGTGCGGTCCCAATTCTGCGTGATGGTTTCGGCTGTGTTCGGGTACCATCGGACGTCGCATCGAGTCATTTTGGCCGATTTGCGTTTGACTTGCTCCTCTCGCCGATCGCACATCGGCGCTGGACTCGCCCTGACTCCGGGAAAGTCCGGCAACTTTCGGCTATTCTTCGTAGAATGGACGTATCTGTCTTCGCTATTTTCAGCACCACCCCTGCTGGTGAACAACTGCCTGTATTGCTTGTATATCATGTGTGCAGTAGAACCTTTTGTTGGTGACGTTGCCAAGTTACATGGTGGCAGCGACGTCGGTACGTTTTCCGAAGTCTTTCCGAGCGTTTCGGCTGTTTTCGGCGGATCTTGGTTGCCGAGGGGTGCTTGGATGTTCTCGCTGCATAAGGAGTTGACATGTTGGTTGTACATCTTGCGAGGGGTTCCGTGAAATTCTGAAATAAGGGGCATAAATAATAATGAAAGTATTAGTAAATATCACAGATTGTTTGTAAGAACAAAAACAAGTTCATATCGTTGTCATTGATCATGATTCCATAATTGGCGGCAGGAGAAAATAAGTTCTATTGCCCCCAAAAAAAAATCACTTTAGAACTTTCGATTAACTGTCATTCTCAATTGTTTTTCTTTCAAAAATAATATTTCTTCCGTCTCTCTCTGTCTCTTTTTCTTCCTTTTCCCTTTTTTCCACCTTCGTCTTCTCCTATCCTGTTGTCTCTCTTATCCTTCCACCCTTCTCCTCATCTATTTCTCCTCTGTCTTCATTGTCTCTCTCCCCTCTTCAATATAAGTTTCCATCTTTCTCTTACTCATCTTTCCTCTTTTTATGATTTCTAACCTAGCTGATTGTCTTCTCCTTCTCCATCTTCCATCCACCTCCTCTTCTTCTTTGATTCTTCCTCCTTTATCATCTCTCCTTTCCATCCATCCTTTGTTCCCCATCTTCTTACTTTTCTCAGTGTTCTTCTTGTTCTCTTCTCCTCTCACTCCCATAATCACCATTTTCACCATCATCACCATTCTCTTCCTCCCCCTCCTTACCGTCATCTTCCTCGTTTTCCTTCTTCTCTGTCTCCTCCTCTTCGTTATCAAACTTGTTCTCAACATCATTATCATCATCTTTACCATCACCACCACCATCATAATCGTCATTATCATTACCACTACCATCACCACTACCATCATCATCATTTTCATCACCACCACCATCATAATCCTCGTCATCACTATCACTACCACTACCACCACCACTATAACATCATTATCATCATCATCATCATTATCATCATCATCCTCCCACCAAACGCTTACCTGATGCATTGAGGCTGTATCTATTGTAGGTATCACCATATTCGATGGTCGGTAGAGTCAGGCGGAGGGTCTTTTTCTGAGCCTGTTCTCGGTCGCCTCCTGCACCGCCAAACAAGAAGTTGCTGTAACTTCCCAAGATTTGCGTACTGAATTGGGCCGACGGGTACTGAATATTGGTTATTGCCGCCATTTTAGACCCTTCCTGCAGCTATTATCCAGAATCAGTCTTTAATGAAGATTGGATTCTCCGTCTCGAGAGAGCGAGATTCCGAAAAGCGAAATACCCTTCTGATAGATTCCACCAAATTATGAATGAAACTGCACTTCTCGCTCCTCGAAATACACAACGAATTGGATTCGGAAATTATCTGTAACCAACAATTTTAATGTTTAGTAGCTATCAAAGGCGCATAGACCTCTGGTGAAATAGAGGTTGTCAATGCTTTCAAGTCAAAACTCGCCTTGTGTGATTTATCACTACAATAGCTAATCCTAATACAACAAAATCCTTTACAATTTCCCAGGAATGTCACAACAAAATCAACAGAATTTACTGCAACACCTTATCAGAAATATCAAAATCATTAACTGTCATCATCGATGATTGCGAAGGCTTCCATGAAGAGAATCGGTAAATGCAACAACAGAGAAGATAATTCTAGTTGAGACATCCAACTCCCTGCACAAGTATTATGATATTTAGCCGGATCCGTCGTCATGAAACTGGTATTAAAACTTTTTCAGCACCTGCGTGTATGACTGTCGCTGTTGTATTTTCCACACGGCACCGAAGATGCGTTGCTAAGCAACGCCACGGTTGGTGATGTTGCAACCTTTCCCCGCAGATGAATTATTTGTGGTATTGTAATGTGTTGGCGTTCATGCACTTATGCCAACTTGGCGCTATGAATAGGTTGAATACTTTTGCCTTTTCCAGCTTCCATGTATATTCTAAGCTATTAAAATTAGTTATAAGGCATCATTTTCACTATAGTACTTTTCACCTTTGCCATCATCATCACTTTCCTTCTCAATCTCACTTTCCATTTTCATTTTTTTCATCAAGCATATGAATTGTTTTTATTTGTACTTTTGCCCGTTCTAGTACACCATTTTCACTCGTTTCTTGTGTCGGACTTTGTCGTTTTTATTTATTCATATTCTTCTTTTCCCCTTTCGTCTTTTTTCATCTCCAGAGCCCCGTTTTACAAAGGGTTGAGCGAGAGAGAGAGAGAGAGAGAGAGAGAGAGAGAGAGAGAGAGAGAGGGGAACCATCTAGAATTGTGGCATAGATGCCCCCACCCCCGTGACGCCAAATTCGAACATGATGACGCAGTTTCGGCATCATTGAAATTTAATTTATCAACTTATTTGTTTAAACCTATGACTATCACCCGAACATGTCCTTTCACACCTGGCTTGACACCGACTACCATAACATCACTGATGCGACCGGTTACCATAGCAACACGTATACGGATGACGACGATGATGATGCCATGAACTACCAGGAAGAGATGGAGATGAGCTCTATTTTCTTGTTTACTAATGATCACTATATTTGATAACTGCTATCATTTTATCGGAGATTGCATACCTGCACGTTTTTGTCAAACCTTTTTTGCTGCATCCCCAGACATGTTTGGTTTTTATTGAATATCTGAATAAATACAATACATTGAAACCTGTCTATAAAGACCAACCAATGGAGACAAGAAAAACGGTCTTTATAGGCAGGTGGTCTTCGTGTTCAGGTGCCTATAGTACACGTTTTAATGAGAAACCATTTTCAAGGGAAACAAAAATTGTGTTTTTTGTAGTTTTTTTGTTGTCAGTAAAGCAGGTTTGACTGTACAACACAAACTTCTCAGATTTGGTCGCATCCCATGTGGGAAACTGTTTGATGGATATTTTAGGAGGCTATACTGATAATGGAAATTATGAATACCAATCCATTACTCACATTCAAAACAAAGAACAAAAGAATTCCAATCAAAATCTCAGATTCTTGGATTACACTCATTGTTAAAACTCAAACGAAACTTACTTTCAGAAAATCGAGGTCGCATATTTTCGATTTAGAGATCGTTTTAATCATAATTTTCTTCATTTTTATTAATTTTATACTGCCATCAAGACCATTATAGTCAGAGACCCGGAACTAAAGGGGTCGAAGGGCCCTTTGTTAGTAATGTTGTTAGCAAGAAGCGGAATGAACAAAAGAAGAAAGGAAGAAAAAGAAGAAGGACGTGGAGGAGGAGGAGGAGGAGAAGAAGAAGAAGATGAAGAAGAATGAATGAGACGAAGGAGAGGAATAAGAAGAAGAAGAAAAACAAGGAAGGATTAATGATTGTGGCTGCAGTTTCTTTCTGAAGCTCTTTTAATTCAATTTCGTGTTTCTGAATAGCGCCATCTCTGAATGAATGGTTGCCCCCTTGAATATTTTTCTTTCTTCATAGAATAAGTTGTCGATATCTTTCTCTGCTAAACTTATTCGCAAAGGGACGGGATGTAAATGATACGGAAGAGGGTAGGGGTGGGGATTCGTTCCTATTGTAGGCCACAAGTTGCCCAACTATGCTACTAAGAAATGTGCTAGACGTGTTTTCAAGAAATAATGATCGATTTGTCATCATAATTATGAAGCAGAGGAGGACAAAGAAAATGAATATAACATAAGCCAATTATTGTATACTTGTGTACTTTGTGTTGTGGTTTAATGAAAGATTTAAAATTGGCGGCGAGTGCATTCTAATTTTAATTTTTCATTGAACCACTTTTTTTCTTGATGATAGAATGTTATAAATCAAGGAAATAATTTGACTTGTGTGTGCATTCAAGCTCTAGAGGCCCTCTAGTGTTTGTATATCTGTGGATATTATATTTGTTTGTACTCGCCATGACATTTTACAATAATATTTTGCTCGTGTTTGTTTAAAGTCTTGAGTTTTGGACTTTGATGGAATGGCGTGTTGTATTCAGAAAATAAATTTTATTTGATATGTGAGATATATAAAACAAAATTAAAACAAATCTCTTTCTCTCTCTCTCTCTCTCTCTCTCTCTATACTTGTTTTTATCAGGGTAGTATCTCTAACCGAGATAGGGAGGGGTCGAGACTCAAAGAGGAAGGGGAATTGGAGACACTGAGAGAAGGGAGAAACCTATGAGAGATTGCATGGGGCAGAGGAAAAGAGAGGGTGGATATAGGAAGTGTATAGAGGATGGAGTGGAAGCTTAGGTGCGTATAGATACAAAAAAAAGGACATCATATTTTGTGAGAAACAGAGAAGGTGGGGGGGGGGGGGTAACGCAAACCTAGAGTGACCCACAGATATCAATGTCAATTTGTCTTTGGGGATCTAAAATATATCATCAGTGCAGTAAGCACCATAGCCGGATGGAAGGAAGCTATAGGCAACCAACCCCGAAGAGATGCATGGTTCCCCTCCATTAAAACAAGATTAAGCAGTGTGCTGCTTAACAATATAGGCCTACTCAATAAACTATCACATCGTTACCGCGATGGATCTTTAATCGATAATTTGCCTTTTGCTTCCCCGCTGGTACTATTCAATATTCAATGCTCTGTGTGTACATAGAATGAAAAGAAAGAGTTGGTGTAATAAGTGTAGGCCTAATATGAAAGCTCATCCGCGCGTGTTACACTTATACTCTCTGTTGCCTTGGGATTATTATTAGGGGACCATTTTGATCGGCACTGTATAGACCCCCTCACAGAGTACATACAACGGCTTTCTCATATCAACACTCGGATCTGCAGAAGTTGGAATAAAGTAGAAGAATTACAATCAGCTAGTATTACTAACACAACAGAAGTAGGGAAATATACTCCAACGAGAAAATTTGTTATATACTCCAACGAGTGATGTACTTTCGATGTGTCCGGACAGGAAGATCGTCCCGTCCCGGCAAATATAATTTTCTCGAGTTATGATGGCGCTGCATTTTTTGACAACCAGGATGACTTGAGAATACCTTTTCTTTGTGCCTCTTTTCAGGTAGGTTCAACGTATTTTGGATGTTATCTTCGCTACGTAAACATAGGCCTACATGTATTAAAGATGGCTTAATTTCAAAATTTAGATGAATTTGAATATTTTCGAATTATATCGCTGCATTTTGGGAAAGACTGTACTTAATATGATAACCCTACATAACTGATAAACAAATGCTCTAACGATGTTAACTCATCATAGTTCATTGTAAAGTCTTTTATTTACTGTCAACTTTCGTTCAAAAACGACTTTGCGTTTTCTGTGCGAGATAATAAAAATAAACACTGAAAAATAAAGCTTAACATTTGCACACTACAATGTCAGCATTACCGGAGCTTATAATTTGAATATTTTAGGGTTCAACTTTTAAGAGTTGCAATTTTGAATATGCTTCTTTCACCCAGGGGTCAAATTATAACATTTAAAACTCGAAAAATTACACCCTTTTACATGTTTTATGAATGCTGATTTTCATCTTGGTGCAAATTTAGTGACATGACTGTAGTCTAAGGGAGCTGCACCCATTATACAAGCTTTGATTTCGTTATGGTTTCCTTTTCTTTGTCATTATATTTGTTGTTGTAAATGATATATTTTGTATTTGTTCATGATTTTCAATGATTTAGAAATAGGTTTGAATTGAGTTAAATTGAATTGAACCAACGTACGTGATAGAATGAGACGAATCGGGTTGGTTAGGCATCTAAAGTTTGCTGCTTGAGAAAGATGGCTATGTTATGGATAAAGCATTGGAGACACGAATAATATTGTGGTAGAGTTTCATAACAGGATCCTATATCAAAAGAACTTCGCATTTTATTCAAAATATTGTTGTTAGCTTATGAATGTTTTTATGATTTTGCGCCTCCTTATTTGATAGAGCTATTAACATTGTACACACCTTCTAGAAATCTTCGTTCTAATAAGAACAAATTGTTTGTTATTCCACCAGTGATGACCAGGTCATTATGGTGAACGCAGCTTCGCTCACACTGCCTCAACTTTATGGAACAATCTTCCGGAACATCTAAAAAAACATCGACTCCATTGTTAAGTTTAAGATTGCTTTAAAGACGCACTTATTTAACATTTAATTCATCCTTTTTGTCTGTTACCCAGTACATCTTGTCTTTGAATTTTGTTGTGTTTTTCTCTAGAGCGCTTAGGGACATGTTTTAATACTATGTGCTATGCGCTATACAAGAACGGTTAATTATTATTATTAAGAAGTTAGAGAAGTTGGTTGTTTTTCAGTCTCATCAGGGCCTTTGACAAGGCAACTAGATATTGGCGCTTTATAAATTCCTAGATTGGATGGATTGGATAGTACTATACTACTTGCTGAATTTGATCTGCGTTAGTTTGATACCAAACAACTGCCATTTTCTTTTTCATCTTTATCACGTTTTGGGTGAGTTCGATGAGAGCGGGATTACCATTGCTACGGGTTCAATAGATCAGCCGGCTATGGGGGGCATTATTTGGAAGACGTAACAATAGGAAGGGGTGATCAACTTGCTTAGTCTAGGGAGTGCAAACACTGAATGGAACAAAAACTATACGAACAAATTAGTCGAAGAATCATTTCATTGTCCACCTAGACTTCTGGATACATGGATTGTTCGGGTTATTATATGGGCTACCTCCTTAATTCCATTTATGCTAAGTCAAATCCTCTCAGTTTAAACCGATTAATGAAGTTTGGAAATGATTATCAAACATCTTTGTATTAAATTATTTGTCCGAAATTACAAAAAAGAACATTTGAATTAACTGGTAAAACCGCCTACAGCACTGCAAATGTTTTAAAATCCCCCCTTTTAAAATAATAAATTGATATTCATAAATGAAGTCCTCGGGCTGCCAACTTTGTTATTGAATATAGTTTC